TATGGTTTAGTGGGGATTGTTAGTGTTGGGTCAGAGGTTGGACTCGATGATCTTGAGGTCTCTTCCAACCTAGAAATTCTGTGATTCTGTGATTCTGTGATAGTGCTTTTTGCAACTTTAATAATGTTTTTTTGATGTCATTGTGTGGTGTCTGATTGATGACTTCACATAACGTTCAAAATATTTAACCATAATTTCTCTCTGTCCAAGCTTTCCTATATCCCAGAATATAGTTTCTGCATGCAGGACCCTTATCAAAAAGGGGCATCTTTTATATATCCCTATGCACCAAACCCCACAAACTATATCTAACCTAAATACCCCCGTTTAAAATACACCAGCACAGAATTGCAAGGAGCATTTTCCAGCTACTGTGTGGATCTGGAGTGAAAAGCTGGCAGGAAAGTGGCGGCAGGCAGGATTTCTGGAAATGTCAAGGAGCCCACATGATGCAACCCCGCTGCATTCTTGCAGAGCGCCGTCTGCGAGCGTAATCCTTCGCAGGGGCTGCTGGCATTTTACTCCAGATGTTCAGGGGCTGCACCGACCCGTTAAAGACTTTTCCAGGGTCAGGTCTGCGTCCCGCCAGAGCTCCGGGCTTTGCGCTGCCGGTGGTGCAGAGCCACATTCATGCGTCAGGGAGACTTCTAAATTTAGCAGCAAAAACCACTGCTAGATTTCAATTTTCCTTCTTTTATATCTTGCAGAGAGGAGTTGTCGATCATCCAGCGAAGCTTTTTCTGCTTCCCAGCTCAGAGTTAACCCCAGCAGCCTGAAACCTTTACTAAAAGCACACAAAAAATACACACAGCTCCTGCAGATCTTTCTTCTTTGCTTCTCCCTTTGCAGAAAGCCACTGGATGCAGCAAATCTTGCAAGGCTTTTGCTGCACACGTGGCCAAGTTGTGCTCAGCTCCCGTGGCACCAGGAGCCTTGATGGGATCTGGTGGAAGTGCCTTTTGGCTCCTCCTGGAGCTCAATTAGCTGCTGCGGGCACCGACAGCACTTTGGCCACTGCAGGCAAATATAACTTGGCTTTTCTCTCTTTCATTCACAGCGTGCTGATGGAGACGGAACTGTGACTCCTATGTTGCTCACACAAGTGTTAGCAAGAAGATGGTGACCCTGCGACCAAATTGGGTCCAGAAACTCACAAAATAGGCAGATATTTGGAAATCTGGGGCTGTGCTGCTGCAGGAAGAAAGGCAAACACAGCTCCCGGAGCATGGATAGCCCCGGAGCCCCTGGCCATGGGGGGCTCAGCAGCTGCAAACCAAGCCACCCCGGGAACATCCTGACTCATCACATCAGAAGATTTGCTTTTGCTGATTTCCAAAAGTTTCGTCAAGCTGAGCAAGGCTGATTTTCCTGGCTTAAGAGCTGGGGAAACCGAGGCACGGGTAGCAAGTCTGGGGCTAGAGTGAGAAGCCGGGTGTCCTGCACTCTGAGTCCTGCACTGGTTTTACTGGTTTGTGCTGCGTCCCCTCCCAAAATGATGCTGAGCACCACACAGGGAGTCACAGAGCCCCATTACTGCTCGGACAAGCAGCTTGGACAAATTCCCTCTTTGCATCTCCACTTTTGGGGCTGTCCAGAAGCAGCCCAGTCCACGCTCTCAGCCAACGCACAGCAAATGAAACCTTTTTTACATCTCACCCGTGGCTCAACGAGCTGTTTCGAAGCCCGGAGGAGGTGAATTTGGGAATTTGGGCTTTGCACACAAGGTCTCTTGTTCAGCACGGGGCAGAGAGGTGGGTGGGCAGGCGGGGGGAGAGGTGGGGTAGGGGGAGGCAATGAATGGGGCCCGTTGTTTCGCTCCTGATTACCTCTGGGGGAAGTTTACCAGCCTTGCACAGCTTGGATTCAGTCCTTCAAAATCATCAGCACTTCTGGCCTCTGTCAGACCGAGGACGGGGCTCGTGTCTCCCTATAATTCCTCCTGCTTTGAGTCTGATGGGGACGATGTGGTTAAAAGAGCCGTGAATCGAAGCCTCTCAGAGCCGCCCTCCTCCGCTCCTCCGCGGTCCTGGGCGGCCCCATCCAGCTGGGATTTATTTCAGGCTCACTCGCTGCCCGAACATAGAGAAGAAGCAGCGAGGAATGAAGGGCAGCTCCCGAGCTTTGAATAGTTCAGGCCACGAAACATGGGCTGTGCTTTATTTAAAGGGAAACGCTCCAAGCCTGAGCTCCCAGCCTCACAGGTATCTGTCGGGTAGGGTAATACCCAGCTGCGTATTTGAGTGCAGCTTCCAGAGCCATGCTGGATGTGCAAAATAGTGCAAAATTTGTACATTGCCCGATTATGAGAAAGCTCTGGACAGCAGTCTGCTCTCCCTAGTCCCACCTAATGAAGGCTTGGAGTCAAATGCAGAAGTTTTGGTGTCTCCTGATCACCTGGACTCGTGACTGCCCTCCAAGGGCTCGTTTTCCAGGTCTGGTTTCACATTATTTTTATTTTTTTCAGGAATTGCCCATGAACATCCGTTTTATTTCTTAACTTTATCCCTCTCCGTTTTATTTCTTAACTCTTGAACTGTTTTTTTGTTTGCTTGTTTTGTTCTTTCCCCCTTCTCCAGCTGGAAGCAATGCCAGGAATAGAGAAAAAAAAAACCATTTCTATGGACATTGTGCCTCCTTTCGGCTGCATGGAGGCTGCGATGAGGTTTTGTGTCAAGGAGTGTGTAGAGCCTCTTTCTAGGCTTCCTCTCCAGCTGCTAGTCTACCTGCAGGCTGGATTGTGTATTTCCTCTGTGATGGTGCATCCTGGATGTCTGAAGCCCAGGAGCTTTGTACATTTGGAGAAGGGCAAGGCCTGGAGAGGGATGTGATTCCCCCATCCCTACAGAGCCTCCAGGAGTCCATCCAGGAGTCCACGTCCATCTCTCCTAACCTGGTGGGGCTGCCCTCTGCCTCACTCCTAACCTCCCTCCAGATTTTCTCATGTTCACACCATGTCCTGTCCAGGGAGAAGCAGCTTGCGAGCTGATTTGGTGGAGAATCCCGTTGGTGGTGGTGGTAGGAAGGGGTAGGAAGGTGAGATGAGTCAAGGTAAGGTAAATCAAGGTAAGATGAATGAAAGTAAGAAGAATGAAAGTAAGAAGAATAAAAATAAGATAAATCAAGATAAGAGAAATCAAGGTAAGATGAATGAAGGTAAGATGAATCAAGGTTAGATAAATCAAGATTAGATAAATCAAGGTTAGATAAATCAAGGTAAGATAAATCAAGGTAAGATAAATCAAGGCAAGATGAATCATGGTAAGATAAATCAAGGTAAGGTAAATCAAGGTAGGATGAAGCTCTTGCAGCTCTGTGTCCATGCTGGGAGGAACTGCCTGCCAGAAATGGCTCTCTCGTAGTGGTGGTGGTGGAGCTGGGCAAACCCTCTCTGATGTTACGGACACAATTTGGCGGAGGCATGGTGATTTTTTACAAAGGGTCGCTCCAGGAGATGGAATTCATTGTTCATTTGGGACAAATAAAGTCAGAAGAGGCAATTTGCTAGCCCAAAGGGAAATCCACTGCACTTAATTTGAATGCAACATGGTTTCTCTTTTATTTCACCATTCTTCTACACTAAAAAGAGGCAAAATGGAGCCTTAAGTATAATTATCAGACAAAGAAAAATAAATTAAAAAATAATTGAAACAAACTGCTTGGGTTATTATCCCCATTTTATCATTTTTTTTAAACACTCCTCCAGTCTAGAAATGCTTTTGGTCACTGTGACAGCGCATGCCCTGATGAATTAACGATTTAACGAGAGTTTTCTCCCTAATTCCAGCTAATAGGATAATTGGCCCTGCAAGTTCATAAAACGTGGGATGTGTAACGAGTCCTCTCCTCCATCTGCTCACCCCGTAACCCTGCACTGGGGGCGTCCCAGTGTGTGCAGGGTGTGCAGGAAGGGCTGGGGATGGGAGTGCTGGGACAGGGCAGGTTGGCTGAGGGACACCCCAAAAACCCCATGGCATGGGGTTTTGGAGAAGCAAGGAGAGCTCGCTGCTTCTCCAGCAGGTTTTGTAGGGCCCCATGACCTGCGTTTTCCCGTTAGCTGAAGGATCTTGATGATCTTGCTTCAGATATGCAGAAAATCGTGCCCCTGATGTCACCTCCTCGGTGTTCTTTTGAGTTTTGATCGAGGCAAAAGCCTCCCCCAGCCTCCAAGGCTGACAATTCCTGTCCCATCCCCAATCCCACGCCCCGGATCCTGCGCTGGGAACACACTTCTGGCTGCGCATGGTGATGGACAACAGCTTCCCACGCTTCAAAAAGTGCCAGAAAACCACAAGAAATGGCACAAGGTCCCGTGCTGCTGTCTCTGAGCGACCTCTGATCCCTGCGGGGCTGACACATGAGAGAACAATTATATTTCGGGGGACTTTCCGGGATATTAGTGTCATTGAGGCATATCGAGGAGGGAGAGACGAGCGGAAATAGATTTAAAAATAGTAAGGAAGAGGAGACAGAGGGATGGAAGAGATTCCAGACCTCATGGGCTGCCTCTTGGGCTCCTTTTTCCCTGCGATGGGTGCTGTAGCCACTTAAACACCGCATTGCTCTTGCTGCAGATGCTTCTCCTATGCAGAGGAGCATCCTCATTTTGGCCTCATCCTTTCCAGCCTCTCCCCGAAGTCTGTCCAGCTCCTTGCTCCTCGCACGGCTCTGAAAATGCCTGCGGGGTTTGGTGGTGAAGAGGTTTCAGCATCCCTGGGGTCCCAGCAGGAGATGCTCGTGGTACCAGGGATGCTGGAGGAGGCTGGAGGAGGCTGGAGGATGCTGGAGAAGTCTTGGAGCCCCCCCAGGTGGTGAGCAGGGGGTATCCCCTCAGCTGCAATACCCCTGGTTATAACATCAGGTTATTTTGGGGCTAATGGGGCAAATTTCCATGGGATAGGGTAATTTCTGCCTAGCAGGGGAGAGCACGGATGGAAATAATGCCCTCGGGTCCTGCACTCCCCTTCTGTCCTGGGTACGAAAATCACTCAAAACTTGCAAAATATCATTTAAGATGAAATTTATTAGAGAAAACATGAGAAAGGAAGAGACGATAGTACGGGTACTCCTATACCCTGCTGGATCCCAGGTCGTGCAGCATCAAAGGGGCGCCGAGCGGCACTCCAGGAGATCCCACGCATCTTTTTTGGGTTCAGTTGTCAAGGCTTTGGTCAACGCTGCTGTTCCGCTGGAGGGCAGCGAGGGGGAGTCCTTCTCCTTCTGCTCTTCACCCTGCCCAAATCCCGACCGCTCAGAGGATGCTCAGCACCGTTTCATCCTCGGGGAGGGAAAAAATAGGCAGGGAGCAGCGGGTTGTGCGGGAAAAACCTTGCAGCAGGATGGATTTGGAGGGGCTCCTTCAGACTGGGGGAACAAAACGTGGATGGAGCTGGAGGAGCTGCTCCTTGCTGGGCGAGGAGCCCCCAAGGAGGCTGGGGTGGCCCCATGGTGGGATCCTACAGGGTTACATCCTGCCAAAAGCCAGCAAAACCCCTCAGCACCCAGCAGGGAGCTCAAAACATCTCTGAGGGATGCAGGGGAGAAGGAAAGGCTGCGTCCCCCCGCATCCCATGGCACCAGTGGCTCGGGGGGTGCGTGGATAATGGCACAGGCAGCGTCTGCTCTGCACTGATTTGTCCCTGGGCTTAGTCCAGAGCTGCAATCCCAGATGAAAAATCGACCAAAAAGGGGGGTTGGTTTGTAGGAAAGGGTTGTTTTTTTTTTTTTTTTTTTTTTTTTTCCCTTCTTTTTCTTTAATTACTTTGATCCGACCTGGCTGGAGACCAGCAAGCCCTGAGTGTGTGATGGGAGCTGATGGCCTCACCGGTGTCATCGCCACCGCCAGCAAAAACTACCAACCAACCCGACAAAAAGCCCTACAGATCTGCCATGAAACATCTCATGCTCAGGGAACAGACATTTTAAATTAAATATCATCAATAGGGCAGATTCTGCATCGACTTTGCAGTCGCTAGAGGGTGGGAACCCCCCTGCGGAGTCGCTCAGACCTGCTCTGACAGCTGCGTGCATGAGAACAACCGGCTGAAGCAATAAGTTTTGCTCCATATATAACAAAGACAGAGCAATTAGAGCCGGTTGTAATTAGCACAGCCTGTCTGCAGGTGATTTATGGGGCAGCCGAGTGCCTCTGCACGCAGCTCTGGGTGCCTCGTGCGCGCCCTTCTTACGGACGTGGTGCTTCCTGCAGGGATCAGCTGAATGAAGGAGGAATTGGAGGCATGAGCTATTTACTGACACAGTTCACCAAAAGGCCAGGTTCCCGAGGAGAAGCAGCTCAGGGTCTTGCTTTCGAGGGAAAATCTGCTTTATTAGGGCACGGCAGCTCGCCCAGGGGGAGCGAGGGCTGCGCCCTGCCTTGGAGGAAGCCGTGATTTGTCCCAAAGCTGGGTTTCTGCTGCTGGGCAAGGAGATGTGGGGCAGGCAAGGTGAGCCAGGATGCTCTGGGGAGGTGGTTTTACCCTTCTATTATCCCTCCTGGAACCACTTTATTTAACACTGCAGCCCAGCCTGGAAGAGATGCCCCAGCTCAGCGGGCATTTGGGGCAGACACAGCCCCAGTGTTTTTCTCCCTCTTCCCAGAGCCCTGCCCCTAGACCTCGGAGCTGAAGATGAATCAAACACACACAGAGGATTCAATCAGCTCCGTTTCATGCCTGGGCACACGCTGCCTTCCCACCCTGCAAATTTCTTTAGCCACAGCCCCGTGTCCCCGGGGAGCTGCCTCCAGGACCCCGCGGCCTTTTGCTCGCCAACACTTTATTTCCATCCCTTCGGCTCCCGCCTGTCCTATAAATGGAAAGGCTTAGACAGCCACCGCTGCACATTTAGGGCTGTGTGACCACGAGATTTACCGAGGCAAACCCCGTCAGCTGATCCATCCCGGCGTGCTCGGTAAAGGAATTTATTTTCCAGCGACGTTCGATCTGCGTCAGCTGTGGGGGGGAGGCGAGCTGTTGTGCTCTGCCAGAAGGGTGAAGGAAAAGCTGGGGGCACACCTCTGCCATCCCTGCAGCCCCTTCCCTGAACCCAGCTGCCCTCTTCTGCACTGAATTCCCATTTTTTCTGTCCCGGTGGAGAGGGGATGGAAGATTGTTAAAGCCTGCTGTGCCTCCTCCTGCTGTCCTAGAGGAGCTGCCACCTTGCAGGCAGCTCGTCCCTCGCTCTGCTTTTGGCTCTGCAAGCACCTCTAGCATCACAAAGGGAGTTTTTCTAAAAAGGTTTAGCGAAAACTCCCCTTTTGTGGCATCCTATGGGGTCTAAGCAGTGCAGGCTGCCTGATTTATTTCCTTTTTTTTTTTTTTTTTTTTTTTTCTGCTCTGAAATCAAACTCGATTCCAAGTGTGCCTTAGTATCATTGTAATAAAAATGCTGCTTTCTGCCTTGCTCTTTGCTTCCTTTGGTGCAAGACACCCTGTTTCTTAGCCCAGACTGATGCTGCTGGGGATATTCCCTTAGCTATGTGTGTTTTTAAACCAGAGGTGGGTTCAAGCACCCAAACGGGGACAGAAATCGAGCTGCAGTGCCTACATTTCCATCTCTGTGACGGGTCAGCCCGTGTGAGCAAGGCAGGGATTTGATTTTGGCACTGGATCCACATCTGAATTTCCATTCCTAATTGGATCAGATGCTGGTTTACACACAGGGTGCTGAACCTAGAGCTCTTCCAGCCAAGAAATGCCCAACTTGCATTAAAAACAAGCCCAAGGGGCACCGAGCAGGAGCTCTCCTGTGTTCACCTTATAGCTGCTTGAGCTCAGAGCCATGGGAGGAGGGTTTGGTTTGGGCTGAATCCGTGCTGAGTTGGCCCACAGCAGCCTTAAACTCCAAAACTTCTACAAAGGAGATGGGGAAATACTGATTGCATCGAACTTGAGCTGCCTGGTACAGCTCCTGAATTTTGGATAAGGAGAAATCCAAGCCTGGAATGGGTGCTGCTGAGCAGCGCTGGGTTCTTCAAGACAGGGCAGGTTTGGGGAGGGGATGTTGGATTATCCCATGATAAATACGAGGCAAAAAGGGTCAGGATGTCCTGGGACGTGTCCTGCAAACAGCCCTGCTGCTGGGCTGTACACAGCCTGGTGCAGTCAGGAAAATGCAAGTCCTGGGGGAAAGATAGAATGATTTTTTTTTTTTTTCTTTGTTTGTTTTGCCAGAAGCAGGAGACATGAGAAAAAATTCAAATTCCTAGAAAAAAAATAGTACAAATAAGGAAGGAGTAAACTCCCTGGCCATGGTAGAAAGGAGGAAATGTCACAGATGTCACTGCTATGGTCAGACACTGGGGGAAAATCACAGGGATGTAGGGAGAGGAGGCTGGAGAGGGCTCGCAGTCCCCACTGCTGGAGGTTTTAAAGCACGTGGCTGATAAAGATGGAGCTGGGCCTGCCTGGGGCAAGGCTCGGTGGTTTTTGGAAGGCTTTGGGATTCTGGATGAGCAGGGTTTGTTTAGTCTGGGGAAGCAGAGGATGACACATCGCTGTCTGTAAGTCCGTAGGGGGTCCGGGGCAATAAACACAGGGGGGAGAAAAGAGTGATTGAAGCAGCTTTGATGGGGTTTGGTGTGGTTTGGGTGATGGTGAGGCAGGAGGAGGGCTCTGAGAGTCACAAGGTGCTGGTCAAAACATCAAGGATCTTCTGGGCCTCCACTAAGGAGGAGCTCAGCAGGCTCCGGGTGAGGCTGAATGCCCTGGTGCAACCAAGGACTGCACCCAGGTGCCCAAATTCCTGCTGAGCCCTTAAGGAAGCTCAGGGAAAACATCTGATGAAATCGTGGAAGGCCCTGAGTTTTGGGCGGTTTCAACACAGGGCAATGATTTCGACAGAGCTCAGGCTCACAGCAGCCACAGGCGGCTTCGTGTGGAGGTGCCTCCTGGTGAAGGCATCCCTGGAGCATCAAACCAGGCACGTCCCAGTGCCTGGATCCACCTCTGGAGCTCTTTCTTCCCACTTTCAGCTCTCCAAGATCTCCCACAGACTCATCTAAGTTGGAAGAGAGCTTCAAGATCATCAAATCCAGCCAAGTTTTGGGCTCGGCATATTTCCTTTGAGGGTGAGCTGCGAACATGGCTGGGTTTGTTGTTGGCTCGGTGATTTTTTTTTGGCCAAAATAGGTTTCTCCAGAACATGCAACTTGGTTGAACCTAGCTTTGCATGCACAGCTGTGAGCCTGCACAGTCCTACCAGATTTTGTTTTTTTTTTCCATTAGGTGGCTTTGTTTCTTTTTTTGCTCCAAGATAAGGGAAGATCCTTTTAGGTTTGAGTTCCTCCCAGGTTGAGGAGGAGCAGCAGAGGCAGGAATTCATCCCGGATCCCCCCAAAATGCCCAATTTCCAGCCAGTAGGGCACAAAGTATAGGATTTTTTAACTAAATCCTCCTTGATGTGTCCTGCTCCACAGCTGTCCTGCTCCACAGCTCCACACCAAATCCCTGCAGTGACCCACTCCTCCTTCCCCACGTCTTTTTTTTTCCCCCTAAAATCTCTTTCTCCGTTCATTTTCATGACGTTGTGCCTCGAGATCAAGCAAAACCCGCCACCCACCTCCCTGTGTTTGTGCTGGTCTTGGGAATTAACCACGCTGCAGCATTTTTTTTCTGCTTCCCACCCCATTTATCACCAAATTTTATAAAAGATGCTCCTACACAAGTCTCCTTTCGTGCACTAAACCCTTGCATGCACTTTGCAGGAAGCATCCCCTGCTCCTGCCTCTCCAGCAAAGCCAACACGCTCCTGCCTAAAGAATTATTTGTCACCCAGGCAATGCCAGGGAGGGCTTAGGCAGAGAGGGAGCAGCATTAAACCAGCTTTCGGCGTGGGCTTTGGCTCTGTGATGGAGCTGCAGAACGTAATCCGTGCTTAGCTCCACTGGGGTGCAGGCTTCGTGCACCGGGAGAAAAATAAACCATCCCCCGGGCTGAATCTCTGGCCAATGGCTGGAATCTGAGGAAATCCTGCAAGTTTCTAATCTTAGGCTGCTTTTCCTGGGTAGTTTATTCCTTTAAATAGAAAGGCTTAAGTGGGATTGACTCCTACAATCCTTCTGTTCGGGACGAGCCTGTAATCTTCCGTGGCCAGCGATGGGCATCGGTGCTGCATCGCGCAGCCTTGCTGCCTCTCCTGCACAGGGAAAACAAGCTGAGGTGGGCTTAATTTTGGCATCTTTCTCCCATCCAACCACTTCTGGAGCTTGTGGCCAGTTTCAGACACGACCTTTGGGCAGTAGAAGTCTCCAGGCTTTGTGGCATGGAGCAGGGAGAGAGAGGAGATAAATGTCCTGTTGGGCTCAAATGTGAGCACAACCCTTATGAGACACCAGAGAGTCCACATGGTTTGCTGCAGAAAAT